TTCCAAACAAAAAAAAAAAAAAAAAAATCACAAAGATGAATCTGCAAAAATGAGACTTAAAATTATATGAGAGAAGCATTTAGCACTGCGTTATGTTTTCTGCCGTAAAGTATCAAGTAATTTAACATAATGATGAAATATCCTGACATTTAGTCTGTCATTGCTGCAACTTCTCCGTAGAAATTCAGACGATTGGCGGGTTTCAGACTTTTTAAAATCTTCTTATTTATTACAATAATTTTCATTATAAAACTCTGAATACAGAGACTTCTGATGTTGAAGTTTATTGTACTGTATTTAACGGACTTTTGGTGTATAATCCAGGCCAAATGTATAAATTTGCCACAGTGTTATTTTTGAAATTAAATTACCGAATTATTTTCCTTACAACTCATGTAAGAGTAAATCCAAAGTTGATATTTTTACTTTCAAAGATGGGACTGAATTTCCTCATAACTCCTTAATTTTAGCAAGTTTTTCCACAGTGTTACTGCATGTTGCAGCCGGGACAATCCAACTGTTATTATGATAATTATAAACAGTTTTAAGTATTTATGTTTGATTTTTGTCACCGTGTCCTCCTGTTGCGGATCAAATGAACAATATAATATCAAAACATAAAATATGAACCTAACAAGACAATATCATTGTTTTTAATTAGCTAGACCGAACTCGGGAAGAATTGGCTCTAAATGCAAAACACCTGCAACTAATTATCAAGATTTAAAAAAAAAAAAAATCTGAATGAAGTTGTTTGATCAAACGGTGATAGCTTCACTCTGTAAATATTATTGTTCCTCTCTGGGAGATAAAGTTAATTGACTGCGGCCAATTTGTGCTTAACAAGTGCAATTAGCTCTGCAGAATGGATGTAATCAGGCTCCGGCTTTCACTCTCAGCTCTTGCCAAAATCATCAGACCGAACATGACAAACATGTATGTTTAATGAACCGTGGGCAAGTGAATCATATAATTCTCAGCTCCATTAAATGAAACGGCCGCAAACTTCGTGTGACTGCAGGCTGTTTGCCTTTTAAAGGTCCGTCTGTGCTGAGTTTTCCTACATTCGCTTTGCAGAACTTGTAGAAGAAAATATACCGAGTTTCTCTTAATTCACATACACACAGCTCCTTTTAATTTTTGTTTTAGGATACAGAGGGGCGTAAATTTAGGTCACTGCAATTTACCTTTGAGACCTTTAATGTAACTTTGGCAGCAGTAGAAATTAATTAAAACAGGCTGTTGTGTGTTTCTTTTTTATAATCTAATAATCATGTTTAATATTAAATTAACTGAGAAAAAAAACTTTGAGAGCTTTTTATTTGCTTTTGTTCTCATAAAGGGAGCAGCCGGCAGTGTTTTTGTTTTATTTCAGTGCCTGCTCTTCATTATTAACTGAATGACACCTTGTGGATTTAATTGACATTCAGAGGCCTCACTTTTATTTCCATCATGCCTGAGGTTGTCTTTGGCATGACTGCAACATAGAATCACAATGATTTCATTTCCATCTGTTTTTCAATATCAACATGTGAAGCTGGAGCTTTACAGAAAGCCTGCTGCCAACTTGTATGAGGCTGTGAAGGGGGGGTAGGATTGACAGGAAACTTAAATATCAAATGGGTGACATGTGTTTTCTTATTCACAAATGAAGTAAGCAGGGCTCATGGGTCAATGCAGAAGCAGAGGGACCCTCTGTGTTGTCTGCGGGGGTACAGTTGGGCCCCTGGGGGCCCCACACATGCAGCAGATTGGCAGTTTGTTGGAGATGCAGGCATGAAGGACACGGGCCTTTAGCTAAAGATACAAGCAATGACAATCCATTTTGTGCTGACTGTTGCTTCCACCTCCTGGGCTGCCCCACTAAAATTAGATTATTACACCTAAAACAGAGCTCCTGGAATCCGCTCCGTGTGGAATAACACACACATGGGCTTCAACTGTGCAGGCAGGAATGCAGTTTGGGAATACAGACCGCATACGTAGCCCCTCTCTTCTCACCCGGAGCACAGTGTTGTATTTCTGACCGGCTGAGGACAATTGCAAATTAACAAAGGTGTCAGTGTGGTAACATGCGCCAACAGGTGCCTTGGTTCAGCTTCAAACATGTAGGCCATAAGAGAGAGCTTATATAATTGATCATATTTATTTAAAGGCTCCGTGTCTTGGGGCAGAGCTGCAATGTAGAAGCCTGGGAAATCTTCCCAGCGACTATCAGCCTCATATAAACCTCTCTTTAAACTCCAAAGCCTCGTGTTTACTTACACAAACCGCAATTTAGCCTTTTTGAATCTCCTCACGATGCGGCACAGCAATTTGGATTTAAAATATTTGTCTCCGTCTTGCTCCGCTCGTGGCTGGACGGAGCTGCTGCCCATGACGAGGAATGTTAAAATGTGTGAGACAGGCCAAATCCAGCTCATCTGCTCCCCAGAACTGCTCCAGACCCAGACAGGCCCACAGCTCCAATGTGTGAACAGGCCAAAGCGAGTTAACAGGTAGTAAGAGAGAATACCACACACCAGAGGTTTCTACACTATATTTCCATAACTTAAAGTCCTCATTTCCTGCTAAATCCTCCCCCTTAAAGTCCCATCATAAATTCCCTCTCCAGCCTAAAAAGCAATCAAAGAACGATCAGATTTAGAGGTAGGAGCTACATGTATATAAAAAAATCTTCACGGTTCCCCTTGCATCTTCTTTAAACAGACCGTTATTCCTCTTTTATTATCCGACAGATCCACTTCTCCCTCTGATAACCCCTCTATACTCTCACTCGAATGGGGCAAACACTTATGCAAACAAGTGTTCTGCAGAGATCTGTTTCTGTTTCCTTTGGCATTGTTTCTGTTTATCAGCATCTAAATCTATTCAAAGTTGTAAGACAATAAAACATGAAAACCTCCGAGGGGAGGTGCACAAATTCCAAACTAAACCATAAAACAGCTCCTTTTTTTTTTTCCTCCTTGATCAGCTTCATGAGACACTTTAATTGCACTTCACAGGGTTTCAGCAAAACGAAGAACGAATGGAGGAGATTTACATTGGGAAATCAATATGGACTTGCAGCTTGTTGCTCCGGCTTCGAGCTCGAACATGAGCGTCGGTCTCCTCACTCTCCTCTGTTCGACTATGCTGTAAACATGCCCCCAGGTTGTCAGCAAGTATTTTTCCAGCCACTTGCCAGCCAAGCATAGCTGCTTCTAAAGATCACCCGCCGGAGATGTTGTTGATCTCATCATACCACTATTTGGCTGTATAAGGTTTTTTTTTTTTTTTGAAAAGAGAGAGATTGCTGCCAAGTTATTTTCAAAACTTTTTCACTGAAACTTAATGTCTCCAAAATGGGGTCGTGTTTGTATTTGTTTTGTAATTTAGACCTTGATTTGAGGTTTCCTGGAAAGAACAGGAAGGGGGATGATGGCCTCTTTCACACACGTGCTATTTGTAGTCAATGCACATTAGCAAAGGAAGTGGTGTAAAATAACCCTGATGTGCAGTTTCTGCATTTATTCTCATCAAACTGCACTTTGCAGGAAATGCCGCTCATCTTCAACGTGTTGTTCCGACACCGCAGCCGTGTGAATTTATGGAAAGCGGCAGAGAAAAACCGTTGAAACCATATCCGGTGGGTTTGGGTGGCGGTGCCAGACAGATGATCTGGTTTCGGAAGAACAGAGAGTCTGGATTTGGCCTTGTGGGGCGCATTAAAAACCTCAGGGGCCCTCTCTCAGATGAGCATCCATTTATCAAAGTGGTTGTAATGGGCCAATGTTTAATTAGTCATGTAATGTGACAAAGACAAGAGCAAGTGCATGTCATGGGAATGTTAAACAACCGCCCCCTTTCTCTTCTAGCCTCATGTGTTTCACCCACCCCAACGCTGAACCCCCACCCGCCTACGCTCACTCGTCATTCCCCATCCAGAATGAATTCTTCAGCATGCTCTCAACGCTCTACTACTTCCCTGAATCCTCTAATAACCTTTACCCTGCTCATAATCCCCTTCGACACTCTCTTCCCTTCTTACACAGTCAAGACATCGACACCAAATGAAACCAGAGACCTAATTAATCATCCGATCAACTTATAAGTCCAGCTTTTTATCAGTGCGTTCAGATTCCCATGGGGCATGTCTCGACACGTCAGGAATGACCAGCGAAGGCATTCTGGACCCCAGGAATGTGGCTCGGTGGCACCAGACTCACAGTTAGACCACTCATCACTGTGCTCACAGCTTGTGGCATTTCTCGTAGCAGCTTCACAAAAACAGAGTTGTCTGATGTGTCCGATCTTCCTTTTTAATCCTCGACCGAGTTTAACTGATCCACTTTTTAGCACGTCTTCTATTTTGGAGGTCAAGAACGGAGCAGGTTGTCCGGGGCAGCAGAGGGTGTGCCATGGCCTCCTCGCGGGCCCCTCAGAGCTGTGTGGTCCCTGAGGGAAGCCTCATATTTCGGTTGTTGGCTAATTGAGCGGGATGACGAGGCCGGAGAGGCTCTCTGCCTCGTCCTCTCCTACGGGTTTGGTTTATGCAGCCCTGCTGACTTTGCTGTCAGTGTCAAACGCTTGTTAGGACATCATCAATCTCGCAGCAGTTAAGAATATTCCCAGAACAGAATGAAGGGGGCAGGTGATAGATGGACAGGGAAACGGAAGAGCAGGGAGAAAGTTGTTTGAAAATGTGGAAGGAAGGTAGTTATTGACGAGAAAATGACCTGTCCTCTGGAAAAGGGAAAGAAACACGAGTGACCCCGAAAAATGAAAGTGGAAAGTGTTGAACGTTCTTCTCAGGAAACAAGTAAAATAAGTGCTCGTAGGGAATGTGCTTCTGGGCTTCGTGTGAGCCGTGAAAAACAATAAATCACTAGTTCCGGAGAAAGTAGATTCATTGTTCGTTGTGTCCACATGCCATAATTAATGTTCTGGGGCATCAAATCCTGGCACAGAAATAAATTACTCTCATCACCAGTTGTAAGAGACGGGAAGGGATTTGTTTGCACTGCGGACATACACAAGACCATGTATGTCTTTACCACGGAAGTATCCATGTAGGGGCTCAACTTGAACACACATTTCAATCTATAAATCATTTCCTACCATCCCGAACGCTAATCTCCAACCCCTCTTATTCCCTCCCCTCTTTTCTTCCAGTCTATTTTCTCATACCCTCTCTTCTGCTCGATAACCCTTCACACCGGTCATGCTCAGCCCTCTCGCTCGCCTGCAACACTGACCAACGGTAAAGTGATTTGAAAAGGGGAGCCATAAACGTGATGGATGTGGTCCAGCTCAGGGTTTAGCCCCAGCTGTCGGGCATGTTTTTTGTCATTTCAGACAGACCCGCTGGGTGCGCGCCCTTCTTCACCCCCACTCATCCACTCTTTTTTGGGACTGAGCGGAGTTTTAAGACGAATATGTTCTTAAAGGCTGTCAAGGCCACGGGTTCAAACCAGTGGCTGACACTGCTCTGAAGATCGGAGATTACATTTTTACGGGATGAGATCTTTACTGGTTTCTACCGAAAGCCAATAAGGTGCAGTTGAAGGGATGTGGTGAGCTGGTATTGTGTGTTTTCAATAAAGGCACAGGTGGTCGATCTTAGATTTCCTTCTTTGGCTTTGAATGCAAGTCATATAAATCAATCAGTTTATGTTTTTTTTTTCTTTTATGATATAGATCCAATGGTTTTCTCTTAAAAATCATCTTTTTTTTTTTCCCCAGGCTCGATGACATGATGTTCCTACCCTTTTCCCCTCCCCCCTCCACCTCTCTCTTCCCTGTTTTCCTTCTACTCCTCCTTTTTCTCCCTCCGTCCCTCGTCTCCTCTTCCCTTTCCCATACCCCGTTGAGCTGGACTTCGCCTCATGACCCCTGCTATCACCTAGACGGCCGCCCGCGACACTGCTTGTCGGAGTTTATCAACGCTGCCTATGGAGTCCCGGTTAATGCTAGTCACTCGCAACAAGGGCCTGACTATGACAGCAACATCATCACCTTGACAGACCTCCACAACCCTCACAACCTCACATGTTGGATGGCTCACAGAGGCACTGACACCGGGGAATGGGTCCTCACCGTACCGCTGGGCCGCCGCTTTGAGATCACTTACATAAGCTTGCAGTTCTGCCACCAGGGGGAGCCATCAGACCCCATCTCCATCTCCATCCTCAAGTCGATGGACTTCGGGCGCACCTGGAGGCCGATGCAGCACTACTCCAGCGACTGCCTGGGAAACTTTGGGCTGCCCTCCCAGACAGTGGCCCAGACCAGGCATCAAGAGACAGAACCTCTCTGCTCAGACCCTCGCCCCCTGCAAAAGCAGAGAGGTGGCATGGTGTTGGCCTTCTCCACCCTGGACGGACGACCATCATCTCCCGATTTTGACCACAGCCCCACCCTCCAGGACTGGGTGACGGCCACAGACATACGGGTGGTCTTCCATCAGTTGTCTAAAGTCGCCAAAGCGGGCAACCCGGATAAAAAGCAAGAAGCACGATGGCGTGACGGTGGAGAAGATGACAGAGGGACTTTTGGACTTCTGAGGTGGAGATCAGGCTACAAGGGCCGCACTGGAGATCAGGTCGACAAGTTAAACGCAGATAATACACTGGCATTTTTTGACAGGGAGACAAAAAACTTAGATATAAGTGGGAGGAATAAAGGGGAGAAAGTGGACAAACATGGAAGGAAGGGTCATAATAAAGGGTCAGGTCAAGATGAAGATGGACACAATGTGACCAGCAAAGAAGGGGGGGGTAGTTTTGGTATGGACACTTTCACTTCCTCAAAGAAAGGTGGGAGAGGTAGAGGGCGTGGTCACAAGAAGGAGCGCATTCATTGGCTTCCTTGCCCCAATGGCAACTGCAATTGGACAGTGGAGGGGAGGAACAGGGGCAACAAAGGGCGGGAACTGAGGAAGAGGAGGAACAATAATCTCAACACGAGACAAAGTGCCAGGAATCTGCAGGTGGCTCCGCCCTCTGCTTTTATCTCTCACGTCCGAGCTCCTCTGGCCCTCTCTGACCTGCAGGTTGGAGGCAGGTGTAAATGTAACGGGCACGCTTCCAGGTGTCGCCGTGACGACACAGGCCGGGCAGTATGTGTGTGCGAGCATCACACGGCAGGGCCAGACTGTGATGTGTGTGAGGATTTCTACTTTGACAGACCGTGGCATCGGGCTACACCCACGCACCCAAACCCCTGTGTTGGTGAGTCATTCAACTATGTTATTTTTTTTAACATATAAAAACATACAACACAACGCAGGTCACTCAACAATGAACTGCAACAAACAAAAGGTAGATGCAGGCTGTACATGCAAGGGGAATAACTGTGTAAAGCAAAAATGTGAAAATGTGGCATATATATTCTTTAATTTATGAACTAATTTCTTCTTTTTTTCCTCTTTCTGAACTCAATCAAATCTAAATCAGCAGAAGAAATACTACACTGATTATACCGCAAATACAGTAAAGGGCTCATTCAAATTCAGTCCTACTTCTGAGTATAGACTTTACAGGCTACAACTCTGACTTTTCTAACCCACCAAGTTAAATGTTATAAGTGTAAAAAAAATAATGTAGTTATTTTTGGTCACTTAAACCAGACACACTGATTTCAGCATTCACATTAATAAAACTAGATGCTGACTGATTCTGGACTTTTGAGGCCAGATCCCTTAAACTTGATTTTTAAAGAACTGTGCGAAGATACATACTGAGCAGGACATTTTACAGTTCAAAAATAAAACGTGACAGTGCTCTCTGATGGACAAACCATTTAATGGAGACACTATATTGAAATATCTTGTCATTTATAAGCCGCCGTGTAAGCTCATATTGGCTGAAATATCGTCCTGGCCAATTTATCCTCACAAGCGCCATGACACAAATGTAACTGTGACTGACATTTCACTTGTTTGTTACTTTATGGATGAAGTATGAGTATCCATGATATAGACAAACTTTTTGAATGTGTTATTTTTGCCCACCCCCGAACCTGAACATTTAAAATGAACTAATCTCTCCTTTGCCCAGCCTGCGAGTGTAACGGCCATTCAAACAAGTGCCGCTTCAGCATGGAGGTGTTTCAGCAGTCGGGCCGACGCAGCGGAGGCGTGTGTCAGAAGTGCCGTCACCACACGGCCGGACGCCACTGCCAGTACTGCCAGAATGGATACACCCGCAACCACAGCAAGCCACTGAACCACCGCAAGGCCTGCCAACGTCAGTCATTATGTGTGTGTGTGTGTGTGTGTGTGTGTGTGTGTGTGTGTGTGTGTGTGTGTGTGTGTGTGTGTGTGTGTGTGTGTGTGTGTGTGTGTGTTTGGGGTCTTTGTCAAGAGGAAAAATTAAGTGCATTCTTGTTTGTGTATTTTTGCGTATGCATGTAACTGTAACTGACTGTGCATTCCTGGGAGATGAAAAGCAAATCATAGTGTGAGAGACAGTGTTAATGTCTGACAGTCTGAACGCATGTCCGTGTGTGTTTACATGGCCGTTCTGTCTCTGTCCGAGCGAACAGAAGTGTTTATGGGGTGGTTACATTGTGATAGTGAAAAGCTATTCCTGTTAGCGATACGCACACAAAAAACACACACAGAAAAACCCCCACTGAGCTGCCACCTGTATCCCCATCGTTACCACCGGTTGGCATCTGCCATGACCCCTGACCTTTGACTGGTCACATGTCCTAAGTGACTGTGACACTCTGGCATGCACATGTGGAAGCTTGACCACGGGCCTAATATATCCAGAGTTAATGGGCTCTCTTTGAGCTTGACACACGTGCAGGGATGAAAAAAAAATGAGCTATGATTAAACATCCCCATGTTTTTTTTTTTTTTTCAATATTTGAAACTGCGAATTCACATCTTCCACCTCACCGTCTTGCATGTCAGCTTTAATTTATTGACACCATATTTCACAGAGTTACCATTCAGAGGCAAGTGGTGATATAATTACTCATTTTCTCCTGTCAGGTTGTAAGGACTTATGTAAACATTAACAGAGTGTGAACAGAGCTGCTCAAGTGTGGCTTCCTCTCTCTATCTGTCTTCTCGTGCTGGGTCTTATCCAGTGAGAGTAGAGGTAAATAAAAAGCTTTGCAGTGTAAACTGTGGCAAATCCAGGCAGTAATCATTATACAGCATCACGACGGCCAATATGAAGGTAAAAAAAAAAAAAAAAAAAAAACGAAGAGGAATTAATGTAGACTCAGGATCGGTCTCCAGCTTGATGACGGTTTGTGGTAAAAGCACCAAAAACAATGATGGAAATAAGGTCAGGAGTTTGTCCATAAGCCAAACTAGTGATGTGATATTCAGTTATTAATTCCTCATGGAAGAATTTGTCTCTGTTTATCCATCACAAAAGAATCTCTTCCCTGGTGTCAGTAAAGGTCTCGCCTCTTGCTCAAGGACACTCCCTCAGGACAGATGCTTGCTGTCATGCAGGATTAAACCTGAGTTCTGTCGTTGATGGATGGTCGTCTTAATCCGTCTGTGTCTGTGTTTTGTTCAGTAGACACAGATTTTAACACATTTTGGTTTAAAATACTTCCCACTTGCCTCGATGTGCTGTCTTCACCACAATGCCAGGAGAACTTGCTCGGGCTCATGCCTTTTTCATATTCATGCAAATGAAATATATTGGCACATGGAAGCTAAACAGTACAACCACAGCCTTCTGGGTGCTGAAAACCTTCACTGGAGTCACTCACTTTCATTAAAGCTGCATTATTTAACATTTTTATTTTTTATAGCAAAGTCTAAAATGCCATGTGCAGTTTAAGCGTAACCATTTAAGCGTCTTTCAGCTCATTGTTTCGGTTGTTTTCCGCATTGTTTCACCAAATAAAGTTTTGATAAACCTATTGCACGCTACCTGCCCAGCACCAATTGACAGACAGACAAGTTAGCAACTAGCTCATGGAGAACCGAAAACAGTCAAAAAGGATGACAGTTGTAAAATGGACAGAGGAACATCTTCAAAACTAATTACTTTGTCCTCGCTGAATGTGGAAACAGGCAAGTGTTTGCTAACACGTTCAGTTTTCTAAGGTGATAGTATGTCACTGTTGGATTTTCAGCTTGTTGCACTGCCCTAAGTGACCTGCTTTTACCTCTAAGCTACAAAAATAACACGGCCCATGCAAGACTAATCTTTTCATTCTCTTTTCCAGCATGTCAGTGCCATCCCTTGGGTGCAGTGGGTCGCTGGTGCAACCAGACCTCAGGTCAGTGTCTGTGCAGAGAAGGGGTGACGGGCCTCAGGTGCAACCGCTGTGCCTCAGGATACAAACAGGGCAAGTCCCCTCTACGGCCCTGCATACGTAAGTTTACAGCCATTATTTATGCTAAAGCAGAATCTAGAAAAAAGGCAGTAATATACCTTTATATGGAGATCATGAGAAAGGTAGAAGTACCATGTTGTTTTAGCATCAGAAATACATTTGGAGAGGAGGTCTCCAATGCTGGTTTCTCTTGACAGTGACCACAGTCTTCCCTTAACCTTATCCAAGCAGTTTGAGTTGCCTAAACTTAACCAAACCTTTGTCACGAAGGGTCAGATCAGAAAACAGTCATATGAGTTTTTTTTGTAAACTGATGGGGGCATCAGATCATATTATGGATGACGGCGACCAGCCTTTCTGTTGTTTAGGTTGGAGGACTTGTTTTAATATGGATGGTGAGTCTTAACTTATCTAAATAATATCTCTGTGCATTTGATGCATGCTGCCCTTCTCAAATAAATCACAGCCTTTTAATAGTTTCTTGTCAATCATGACAAAGTGACCTCTTTAATTTCTCCTTCAACCTCATTTGCTCGCGGCCTAAATGGATTAAACCTTCTATCAAGAGCTCTAATCCTTTATCAAATAGTAGCTCAATATAAAAGGGGCCGCTGCTGTCCTGACCAATTTGGCCCAAGCTCCCAGCGTGTCCCCTTTTCATCATCCCTGGAGACGGTTTCCATAGCAGCGTTAACATGAGCTGACCACTACAGGGAAACCTCATCTCCAGCTGATCTGGGATGAGCGTCAGATCAAGTGGATTGTTTCTACTCATATCTCCGCTCTCGACCAGCACCGAACCTCAGTCATGAGCGCTAATCCACGTGCACTCGCTGGGCTAATCGCACGAGTGCCGACAACCACACAGCCACTAACGCTGTGTAAGCCCCAATCAGGTGACATAGGGAGCCAGTGGCGACGAGCTTCACACCTGTTGTGCAGCTCAAAATGCCCCCATCACAGGGCCCAGACCCATAACTCTCTCAGTGAAAGGAGTGAGTGAAAGAAAACCTTGTTTGTTTTTACTGCCAGACCATCTCGGGCTATGTATAGCATCTCTTACCCCCACCCAACACCACATCCAACACCTCGGTTCCTCCTCTCATAGGACAGAGCAAAAGGCACGCGGCAGCCAGGCTAAACTTAAAGTTAGCTCCCACTGAAACGTTTGTCCAGGCCTCGAGCAGCTCAGGAAGTTCACAGAATTAAGTATATGTCAAAAGTCGAAACGAAGTAACTACATATTTGGTCACTTACTTACGTCATGGTAATTCAGTTACTTTTTCCATATGAAGCAGTAGCTACAGGCGCCATGATGGAGAAAAAGAAGCTCAACTACACGCCTGCTCAAGCTAACGTGACTCACGTTAGCTTACCTGATTTCAGTAGCCGTCATCATTCATGCTATTTCAGCTGCTTTCAAATCACATATTTCAGTCAATTAGGCTGTAAATTGATTTATTACATTAGTTTCAATATAAATATAAATAGCAGAAGGACTGACAGCCAGCAAAACTGTTAACTCCTATGAACTATGGCATTTAAATAATCAAAATAAAGTTTATTTTCTTTAAAAAAAAAGAAGTTTGTTATTTGGGCTGTCACAATATCAGATTTTCACTACATAATTATTGTTTTCAAAAGAATTCATGATAACGATGTTAATAATAATAATAAGTCAAATCTTTGACTTTCTTTTTTTCTGTGTGTTTTGTCTCTTTTTGGCAAATGAATTAGACTCAAATAAGATTGTAGGGAGATGGAGAGAGAGTCTGTAACCATAACTGTACAAAAGTGTAGGTCGACAAAAACAATAAACAAAAACAAAAAACTATCACTCAGTGGATAGTGTAAAGGTAACCAGATGAACCAATAAGCAAAAGATTCACAAGGCCAAACATCTGCCATCACAATATTATCATGTCATCAAAACTACATCAAAAGTGTAGTTCTGGGAAACTCAGGTAACGTACTGCACCAGTATCTAAAAATGTCAAACGACACCCAGTCCTGCTCACAAAGGTTCCCTCAACCGGCTCATTACGACCTCTCACATACAGTCTGCACATCCACAAACACACAGCGACTTCCTGTCTTTTAAAAGTGGGGGGACAAGTAAGCTGGGTGGGGGTGTAGGGTGTCACTGGCCCAGTTGTGTCAGAGAGGACGGGACATGAAGGCGGGGGGTGGAGGAGGGTAGAGCGTGAGCTTGGTAATATATGGCTGCGCTGTCACACACACACACTTTTACAAGAGGCCTGGATAATGTATGTACGGACCAACAGGTTGTTCATTTTCCATCCACAAGTTCACAGACTCACACACACAGTCACACAAATTTTTATTAGACTCTGTTCAATGTTTGAGACAAAACCATACAAGAGGTGATGGTTTGACCTTATTGAATTTCTAAAAGTAAAGTTTGTATCTTCAGCGTCAGGCAGTGTGTTTCTAGCCCGTAAAAGGACCACACAAACAGTCAGTTTGACACTTGCTTATCTTCTGCACAGGCATAGCTCACGCACTCGGAGGCATTCAAGCTTAACACACAAACCCCACAGAAGGCCGACGCTCGTCTGTGTATCTGCTCCTGTCACCTGTCTGAAACTGTGTTTATGTTTGCAGGAATTCAAGAGATCGCTCCGACCCCAGTGTACCAACCTCAATACAGCATCGGTGAGTAGATTCACCCGCCTTTTTTAAATTTTTAAATCTTTTCAATGGGTAGGCTGCATTTAATATTTCACGGTCACCTTAGAAACGACCTGGTCTCGTGAGTATCTCTAGTTGTATTTACTCACTGTGGGTAACGTAGCACATCAGTTGGGCTGTTTTATGGCAATATTGGATTTACAGAAGTTTTGCACCAGTGTGAGAAAGTGCCTTGATTTTTTTGAGACATGTTTCAATGAATTAAACAAAAACAGAAATTCATGACTGGTTATTGCATGTATACATTTCTAGATCATTTAAATTGCCAATATAACAGACAAATCCATCTATATCGCCTGCCTTGAATGTTAACTATGTTTCTCATAATGCTTTTTATTCTGGCTGTTTATTTCTCTCTTAGTGCAACTTATAAAATATACATTATTATTAAATCAAATGAGGAGTGTGTGAGATTCCAAAAATTTAAATATTCAGAGCAAATCAAAGTGAATAAAGATTTTGTTGTAATGAAAACTGAAAGAGAATACACACCTCTAGAGATGTAACAGGTCGCAGCTTGACTGTGACTGATATAATCTTTCTATTTTAAATTTATTTCAGCATATCTTGCCATGAATTACTCTCTTTCTGCTTTAGTGTGATAAAGTTTTTTCGCTCTCCAGACATATCCGTTTAACCCTGTTGCTGTCACCTCATGTATAACATAGAGATTTATTGCACTTACATGGAATCATATATCAAAACAAAAATCCTCTCTGAAGTCTTGCCATGAGCCACATTTTTTAAACAGAGGGGACCTTGAATTGAAACAGTTTCGGGAGCTGCTGTTCCTCGGGCTGTAGCTGAGCACCTCCTCCTAGTGGCAGCTCGAGGAATGTCCCACCTGCTGCACTCGCGGGTCATCTGTTAGTCACAGGATACTGTGATGACAAATAGAAGCAGCCATATTGTAATTAGGGGAAAAGACATGTGCTGATATACTTGCTGTGAAATGATACCCTCTCATTTGATGCATTCTCCCTCCCTCCCTCCCTTTCTCTTCACTCTCTCTCCTAGCGGAGGAGTGTGTTTCATATTGCCAGCCTTCTCAGGTTAAAGTCAGGATGAACTTGGAGACCTATTGTCTCAAGGACTACGGTTGGTGTCATGTTTCCTAATCTATTTTTATTTTAACTTGTCATAAAAAACATAATTTAGGATTTAATGATAACAGTAACCACAACAATAATAGTTTATTAATATTTAATAATAATATTATTAATTATTATTATTAATAATAATAATTTTGCACCTCTGTCTTTCTCAGTGCTGAAGGTGCAGGTGAGAGGGATGGAGCGTTCAGGTCCCTGGTGGCAGTTCTCCATCTCAGTCCAAACCGTCTTCCGCACAGGGTCCACCTCTCGCGTTCGCAGGGGCCCCCACTCCCTCTGGGTCCCCGACCGTGACCTCGGCTGTGGCTGCCCCGCCCTCCACGTGGGTCGGACATACCTCCTGATTGGCGCAGAGGAAGGAGAGCGAGGCTGGGGCCCAGAGGAGAGCCGCCTGGTGGCGGACCGCTCTACTCTGGCCCTCCAGTGGCGGGAACACTGGAGCCCCAAACTCAGGGGCTTCCGGGGGCAGGACAAGAGGGGCCGCTGCCCTCCAAAATCCCCCAACAGCCACCACAGGGAGCACTCAAAACCCCAGTCTGGGTACGTCCCCCCTCACCTGCTGACTGAGAAAGACTCTGACAGCGTGAACACACACTCTGTAGAAGTGGACGAGACTCAAACCTTAGCAGTGCCGCACACACACCCTCACACAGAGGTTAAATCCACAGTGGCGACCCCCTCACCCACTACACCTGCTCTGGTGTGTTCCACTCAAGGTCCTGAATAAAAAAAATAACAACAAGGAGAAACAACAAAGACAGGATGACTGAGATTTTCACCTTCATCCTCCACCTTTCTGGACAGTTTGCAACAAGAGAGCTACTATAAAAAAGGAGAAGAAAGTGCTTTTTCTATATTTTTTTCTGAAGGTTTCAGGAAAAACGGAAGTGACTTAATACAGAGAAACTCTCAACACACACGAACACACACACACTCCTGTTATGTGATGTTCAAATGCTGATCTAAAAATGTGAAGAAACACACACATTTCCTCATGTAACTGTTGGCGTTTGTGTGTTTTTGGAGGGTAGAGGTCAAATTGATGACGGAGCACTAACGTCTGCAGCAGATGAAATATCTAGATATACCCACCAAAAACAAAACTGGTGCTATGTGAAATATTAGTTATGAGAATTTTAATATTTTCTACTAAAGAAACTTTTGAAAATTAAAGTTTGACTAAACTCTGACTAAAAGGCCATGCAGCATTTTTTCCAGTATTTTCTGAATTATATTTATTATTAGATTAATGTACGTAACACACACACACACACAAACAAGGGAAACTTTACATAACAAAATATACAATAAGGGTAAATATTCTACCTCACATTTACTACACACACACTGATTTTTTTTCCTTTTTTAAATAAAAACTAGTAGAGATCATGTTATATAAATGACAGGTTTTACCACAAATGAGGCCAATACAATATTTTTGTATCATAATGAAATTTGAAAATAACATTAACATTAATTAATTTACTAAATAAAAAATAGTTTTAAACTGACAAACATGCAATATGCAAACACAGTTGATAGTTAACATTTATAGAACCACTGTAAAAAAAAACTGAACTAATATTTTCGTAAAATTCATAAAATCCTTTTATCTCTGACACTTTTTCATGTGTTTCTTTACTCATTCTCTGAGACTGAAATTCATAATACATACATACATAGTACATAATAATGTTGCACAAATTGTTTCATAACAGAAATTTGCCATTTTTCCACTTTTATATCTATTCTCAGTAGTTAGGATAAAAGTAATGCAAGCTCCAGGTCACACACACACACACACACACACACACACACACACACACACACACACACACACACACACACACACACATGCGTGTACATACACACACATACACCTTGCATTCATTCTGCACAATATTTTGGGAAATTGAGACTATCTACAATCTGGACAGCTGACACACAGACCAAACTAACCTCAGTCTCATTTCCTAACCATACAGGAATCCTCAGATAGACAGTCACCAGCCTGGATATGGATCTAAAAAGCATCGGCCCGACCTGTCGTCATGGCTTCTGTTTCCATTTGGGAGATATGGCGTCATAGCCCAGGGGAAATGGTGGAGGTGGTGGGGCAGTGTATTAAGACAGATGGGCGAGCTCCTATTTGTTGAGCAGCTACATTGTTTTGGTAGCGGCCGTGTCAGTGATTGGTTGTGCTGCGGTGCTGAAGCCAACGATTGAAAACACAAAGAGAAAAATAGACTCGCTGACTGATGATTGCTCAGTGCGATTCATCATACAGTACACTGATGGGAAGGGTATGTGTATGTGTGTGTGTCGGCACGTTTTTGAACCCTTATGAGGTACAAACGTCCACAAGGATCCAGAATTAACAGCTTCTTGGCGCCAAGTAACACACAGGGGCCCCCAAACAAAAATCCACTGATGCCAGGAATACAAGAAAATAAAAATCGACTTTTCAAACCCATATATATATGTATATATATATATATATATATATTGATATATTGATATATATATATATATAGATATATATATATATATTTTTTTTTTTTTCATTATGGCATCTTTCACATTATTCTTCAGGTCTAATGTTTAGTTTTCAGATAATTTACTGCATTCATGTCTGTCTCCAGGTGAAACCTGGCCACCAGTTTATGATACTAATATAAATAATGCATAAGAAACAAGGAAGACGATTGATACTGTGCAAAAGACCAGCTTGTAAAGCCAGAACCCTTAAAACTTGAAGCTGCTGTAATCAATATATTTATATCAACAATGGATCAAATGACAAATTGTATAACTCTGCAGTTCCTCTCAGCTCTGTGCACCGTTTTAGCATCTTTCAGCTCATTGTTGTGGTTTTACAGCCAGCGTTAGTTTCAGAAAGATGCGAAAGCAGAAATTGGAGTGACAACAAACCAATGGAAACTAATTCATTTAAGAATCTTTTACACAAGAAAACAAAACCAAGCTCATGACAAGACGAAGACAAAGCAGATATACCAGTAAAGCTGTAGCATGTAGAGTGCAGGGTTACAGCTGCATCACATTCACGTGTATAATAATACTACTAACTTATGTGTGTGAGAGGTAGAAGTATCCGTGTCTGTCTGTCTGTGTGTGTGTGTGTGTGTGTGTGTATAGACGAAGCACCTGCTGCGTTACTGCAGGAAACACCTGTCAGCGGTCGTCTCCTCAATGCAGCCTCTGTCGACATGAGGGTTTGATCCTGAAACTCCCCAAACACACACACACTTACACAGACACTAAAAGACAACTTAAGCCCGCAGCTCTCTCTGCTGCAGGGGGAGCACGTTGTCTGCGGCTTGGTTAACGTTAAACTGACAACACACACTTTACTGAGGCGCTGCAGACGAGGGCAGGCCTACTGTTTTGGTGGCATGGAAAATTTCGATCAGCTTCCTCTCTTCTGGCCTGGTAGGCAGCAGTGTGTGTGTGTGTCTCTTTCTCTCTCTCTCTGTGTGTGTTTGTGAGTGTGTGGTATTATGTTTACAACCTGCTGAGGGTAGGTTTTACGAGAGGTGACTCCTCCTGCACTGCAGCCAGAGCCAAAGTTCAACTAGACCTCTTGCAAACACACACTCACTTTTATTTTTATCCTCTCATTTCCTTTTACACACACACACATTTCAAATTACTCTTCACTCTCATCTCTTAGGTTGCACATCCTTCCTCACACACTCTGACAACTCAAGTCCAAGTTCAGCAAGTTTCACCACCAGTTTTCAGGACACACACACACACACACACACACACACACACACACACACACACACACACACACACACACACACACACACACAGAGCTTCTGTTAACCTGAGAGGCAGAGGGTCAATCCCTGTGATCCACAGCCTGCATGCCTTCCATTCAGACACGCCGCCGACACAGCAACCTGACTCCCAGCTAGATTAGGACTAATCAAGCATGGCACAGCTCTGGGCAGAAACGCCATCACTCTCTCTCTCACACACACACACACACACATCCACACCTACAACACAGATATAGGGTACTACAAACATGTTCACACACAGAGCTTTTGCTGTTTGTGATGTAACGCTATTTTCAAGAGCAAAATCACCATTAGTTGTCCTGATGCTCAGTGGTTACATACACCACTTGCTCATGTTTATGTAGTATCATTTAAAATAATTTCAGCAGTGTGGCTTGCGTAGATAGTTTTCCTTATTATTCAAGTTATTGCACAATTGTGCATGTTCATCTTTCCTCCATAGTCCAGGTGGGATTCATCCCTATTATATGTAGTATGGCATAATTAGTGAAAGAATGATAGTATGGCATAAAAAGTGAAAAAAAAAACATAGTATAGAATGGCATAAAAATGCGAAGAACATCACAGTAAATTAAGGAATGAAAAGCTATATAAACATCATAGTACGGTAAGGCATAAGACAACATAGCATAGTAAGGCATAAAAATGCCAAAAAATGTCATAGTATAGAGTAGGGCATAAAAAGACATCTTGATACTGCAAAACAAGGTCAGCCGTTCTCCCTTTTGGCGCAGCCCTCAGATAACTTCACATGGCATATGCTCTATGCTAGAGATTGGTGAGGGTGCCACTTCAGAGGTTGATGTGGCTGCTGGTAGGCCTTTTCAGCCTGTGTAGTAGCAACCAACACTGTTGTGTCACGTCCTCAAGCTTCTCTACGTAACATCAATCCTCAGTTTGAATCATCAGTGAGTCGTCACTCCTGCATTTGCTTACACTTAGGATCAGACTCTGGGTCGGGACACAGTGTTTGATGAACATAGAAGCCACTTCGATCATTCATGCTCTCTGCTGCTTCCGCTCGTCTGAGTAGGCCCTCAAGAGTAGGGTTGCTGCCCTTGCTCAGTTGCCTAATCCAATAGTCGACAGGGGTTTTCTGTTGCTTAGAGGAAAGAATAGGATAAAAGACCGGCAAGAGGGAGACATGGAGGGCGCTTCACTGGAAATTAGTGGAGAAGAACATATGATGACTTCAGCGTTGTTCCTTTAACATCAAGTAAGTAATACTATGCCAAGGCAATCTTCACAACATCCTGGCCTTGCCCATAGTCACCAGATGGCTTGCCACTTAGATTTCTTCTGCTGTTCACTATCACAGGAATCTCTTGTTTCAGAGGTTACAGCACTGACAAATACTCAGTCCAAGGACTGGATTGACTTGGAATAAAACTCAGCCTCAGAAAACAAGAGATTCCTGTTGTGACCTTACAACGCGAAGAAATTAAGTGGCAAGGCCATCCCTGGCCTTGCCACTTAATGGGCAAGGCCAGGGATGTTGTGAAGATAGCCTTGCATAGTGATCCTACACTTGATGTTAAAAGGAAACCTGAAGTCATATGATGTTCTTCTCCACTATTTCAGTGAAGCCCCCTCATGTCTCCTCTTGCCGTCTTTTATCCTCTCCTTCCCAAGCACAGAGAAAACCTGTCGACTATTGGATTAGGACTGAACAAGGCAGCAGACCTAGCTCTTGAGGGCCTACGCAGACGAGGGAAGCAGACAGAAGCATGAATGATAGAAGTGGCTCTCATGTTCATCAAACACTGTCCCGACCCAGAGTTATCACTGCGTGTAAGCAATGCAGGAGTGGACCTCATGTGATGTTCAATGAGGATTGATGATTAGTAGAGAGAGTTGAGGACTCACAGGCGTGGTGCTACACGAGCGTGAAAAGCCACCG